CTCCAGTGACACCATCGAGCTCTGAGCGGCGTCCCTGCGGCGCCTGGCCGCCGTCCTCGGGCCCTGAGCGGCCTCCCGCAGGGCCCGCACCCCTCCTCTTCTGTGCCCGCCCGGAATGGCCGGCTCCAGGACACTGGCGATCAGCTGGGCCTTCTGGCTCTCCGCCTGACTGCAGCCCGACGTGAACTCACCACGAGCCCCTCACGCCCTGTTTTTTGTGTTTTTAATATCTATAGTTTTCCCCAGCAGGAATTTTGCACAGAGGCCGTGACTCTCACGGAATACAGGGTGGATGTGCATGGACTTGAGCATGGGGGACAGGGACCGGGTGTCCCAGGGTCCTCCAGTGGGAATGAGCCTCCTTGTCCAGATTGGCTGTCCTTTTTGTGCCAAAGAAATAAATGTTTAAGATTTGGCCCACAGCTCTGAGCCAGCGTCCTGTACCCAACCAGAGCAGGGCAAGGAGGCCTCTCCCCACAGTAACTCAGGCCTGAGCCTTGGAGGCCTTTCAGAGGGATACTTGCTTTGGTAATAACTGTGGTTCAGGGTCTTCAGCCCCAATGTGAAGCCAACTCTGAGCCTGAGGGGAGAACATTCTGTCTCCTTCCCCCCCTCCCCCCCCATCATGTGGCTTGAACTCTGGGCCTGGGCGCTGTCCCACACTCTTCAGCTCAAGGCAAGTGCTCTACCACTTCAGCCATGTCACCACTTCTGGTTTTCTGGTGGTTTATTAGAGATAGAATGTCACAGACTTTCCTGCCTGGGCTGGCTCCTGAGCAGCTAGGATTACAGAGGTGAGCCACCGGCACCCAGCTCATTCTGTCCATTTTAGGATAAGGAGTGAATTTCTGAAGTCAAAATCATTTGATGACCCAGAAAGCTCAACTTGAACTCAGGCCCTAGGGGCTGGCTCTTAGCTTTGTTTGCTTAAGGCTAGCACTATAACCACTTGAGCCCCTCTCCACCACTTTTTGTTTTTTTTGCCAGTCATGGGGCTTAAACCATCCCTGAGCTTATTTGCTCAAGGCTGGCATTCTACCATTTGAGCCACAGCACCACTTCCAGCTTTGTCTGTGTATATGGTACTGAGGAATCAAAGCCAGGGCTTCATGCATGCCAGGCAAGCGCTCTACCACTAAGCCACATTCCCAGCCCACCTCCTGCTTTTTGATGGTTAGAGATGAGTCTCACACACTTTCCTACCTGGGCTGGCTTAAAAACCACAGTCTGTAGAACTCAGCATCCTGAGTAGCTAGGATTACAAGTGTGAGCAACCAGTGCCTGCCTCTACCTCCCTTCTAACTCTTCTTCTGGGCCCATCTTCCCTCTCTCTGTCTACTTCATCAGAGACGCTTTCACTTTACCAGTGTTTTAGAGCACTTCTCCATGTTGGCAGTGATGGTGGTGGACAGGTATGAAGACGGAAGCTCCTCCAGTTTCTAAGACCTTTATTTCCTGAGATGAATAAATACGTCAGTGGCTGAGGGGACGGGGTGAATACAGACCAGGAGCTGGCAGCATGCAACTGGCAGGAAGGGCTGGGGTGGCCTTGCCCCTATGGGGAGCCCCTTTGGTCCTGGGCAGGGGCCAGAGCTCACTAGCAGTCGCCACAGGAGACGCTTTGAGAATGCACACACGCAGACCGTGAGCGGCCAGTCCCCTCCCCCAGGCAGAGATCTCGAGGCTTTCCGCCTCCAGGTACTTCTTCACCCGAGAGCCACAGCTGCCCAGGACGAGGTTGTCTGCGCTGCTCCTTAAGGCGGGTAGGGATGGGGTGCTCACCCCGCTCTCAGAAACCAAGCTGTCCCGAGTGTCCACCAAGAGACGCCTGCCCGTGGGGCAGCCTGGGTGGGAGGCCATCCCCCGGGGCAGCGGGAATTATCTGCCCTTGATGAAGCCCTCCAGCACGCGGTCGCTGCGCTCCGACAGCCAGTACCCCGTCATGGCTGCCACGGCCCCGATGAAGATGGCGGTGAACACCAGGTCCCCCTTGGCGGCAAGCGTGGCCAGCGCACAGATGATGACCCCGAAGAACATCTGCTGCAGCACCACCAGCTCGTCCTCCGTCATCTCCGAGAAGAAGCCCGCCGACTCTGCGGAGGGGACGCGGAGCCGTCACCCCCGCCACACCCCTGGGCCCACGACCTTGCTCACACCTGGTCGCCCAGCTGCCCAGCGCGCCAGGCTCACAACTCCACCGGGCAGCTGCTGACCCTGCGTCACTAAATGGAAGCGGGACAGAGCTGGGGCGGGTGAGAGCCTGCCGGAGAGCGTACACGGGGCACAGCACGTACTTCAGAACCCATCCAGCTCCAGTCAGGCCGCCTGGTGCCCGCCCAGCCAGCCAGCAAGTGCTGGCCCTGTGGCCCTGAGCAAGGCGCTGTGCTGCTCTGCCTCTTGGTTTGCAAAGGAGTGAGACAGGATGGGAAGAGCACACCTGCAGCATCGGCTTGTTTCCAGTCTGGCACTGGGTACCGAAATGTGCATGCGGCCCACACTAGGCACGGCACCCACGGTCAAGAGCAGTCCCCTGGGGCCAGTGCAAGGACGGGGTCATTCGCAGCTGAGGAAACGGGCTTTGGGGGAGCAGACTGGCTCGATGCCAAGTGTGATACTCTCACCCGGGAGGCGGGGGGCTGAGCGCGGACACAGGGCCCGGTCCCCATGCGATCGCTTGGGGGCTGTGTGGAGGAGGGGCCGTCACTCACCTGGGACCTCCTCCTTCACGCACGCGCCCTCCAGCTGCTCGAAGCCCTCCGCACAGGTGCAGCGGTAACCCCCCTCCACGTTCTCACACTTCTCGTTCTCTCCTGGACACACCGCGGCCTCACACTCATCTACATCTGGGGAGATGTGAGGACAGGTCGGAGGGCTGACCCAGCCTGTTCGTATCCTGCCGCTGCCTCTACCCCTCCCCTGCCAACATGGCCCCTTCCTCCCCCTGCCCTGCCAGTACTCCAGCCCCACGCAATTCCTCAGGATGCCTGTGGCCTTTGCCCGAAGACTCACCGAGACACTTGGAGCCCACCTGCTGGTAGCCAGGGCTGCACTTCTTGCAGCGGCCGGGCCCCGCCCCCATGCAGCCCAGGCAGGCCTTGGCACAGTCTGCAGAAGGGAGACATGAGGGCCAGGGGTGAGCACTGCGCCCGCCCAGGGAGTCAGGCTGGCGCCGGAAGAGGCTCTGGAGCCCGAGAGGGCACAAGTTTGGAGGGACACTGCACTGTGAGTCGGCCCCTCCCCACCCACCCCTGCAAGAGTGGACACTGACCTCGACACTCGTAGGAGCCTTCTGTGTTCACACAGAACTGGTCCACCCCACAGCTGGCTCGCTCTGTGCCACATTCGTCAATGTCTGTGGGAGGGGGGTGCGGGGGGGGGGGTCAGTCCTGATCTAACCAGCTGACACTGGGACCATTCCAGCATCCTAGGATTACCGTGTGGCGGAAGTGGGAGAGAACTGGGAATGGAGCTCTGCCTAACAGGATGTAGGCGAGTGTTAGCTCCTCTTCTAGCCTGGCGCTAAAGCAGCCTCCCCGCCTCGCTTCCTGAGTGCTGGGAGGTGGCCCTGACTCAGCAGCAGAGGCAGAGCAAGGCTGCCCAGGGGGCGAGCAAGCGGCCCGGTGCCCAGTGACCGGCCGGCGGAGCTCTTCCGCCAGCCTGGCGGCTCACTAGGAATGCGACAGAAAGAAACTCCATTCTTTCCGTCACCGTCTCGTGGGATCTTTCTGTCACAGCGGCTTTGCCCTAAGTGGTCACACAAGGACCAAATGCCAAGCCAGGTGTCCTGACCCGAGTTTAGTGCCCTCAAGCCTCTGGCTAACCTTTGATGCTCAAGTCACCTCCTCGGGAAGCCTTTCTGGGCCCTCGCACCGTACTCCGGCTGACTGCACACAGCTCAGTGCCCTGCGTGCTCAGCTACTTTTCTGCCCTCCAGGCCAGGCCGAGAGCCCATGTCGCAGGCCCCTTAGGCTGGGCATGCGGGGGGGGGGGAGCCCAGGCGGGGCCCACTCACCTATACACTTGAGGTGGTGCAGGGCCCAGCCCTTCTTGCACTGCAAACAGTTGGATTCCTCGGGTCCCGAGCAGCGGGCGCAGGGGCCAAAGCATGCTGGGTGGAAGGGGGCCAGCATGAGGACAGGCAGGCAGTGCCCCTCCTGCCCCTCCCCTGCACCACATCTTCAGGCTACCTACCCGAACATACCAGATGGCTGGCATTGCGCTCTGCCTCAAAGTAGCCGAGGCCACACTGGCCGCAGGCCTCCCCCGCGTAGCCGGCCTGGCAGTCACAGTGCCCGCTGCCCCCTCGCGTCCCGTCCCCTGCACACTGCCCGTAGCCACCGCAGGGCCTCTCTGTACCCCCAGGACACGCTGTGGACAGACACCAACTGGGTGAGACCTCATTTGGGTATAAGTTGGCTCGTAAGAGAAATGAGCTGCAGATTCACATTCATTTTCGTGTCCGCATACTTCGTCGTAGAACTATTTGAAGTTTATGTAGTAAACGCCCCATTGTGGAGCAAGCGGGTAGTTTATAAATCTTTTGTTTCTTTTCTTTCGTCAGTCGTAGCAGGGATTGAACTCAGGTCCTTGGGCTCACAGGACAAGGCTTCTACCACTTGAACCATTTAGTTTATTTTTCAGATAGTCTCCCACTTTTTGCCAAGAGCTGACCTAGAACTAAGATCCGCCTCCCACACAGCTGGGGCTGCAGCCTGTGCCATCACACCCAGCCTGGTCTTTATCACCCAGGCGAGTCTCAAACCTTCAGCCTCAATCTCTGCCTCCCACATAGGATCACAGACTGGCCTGGGGCTGCTCTTGCAAGTTCTTTCCTTCCTCCCCTGCCTTACTCCTTCCTTCTTTCTTCCTTCCTCTTTTCCTTCCTTCCCAGACAGGGCCTTACTAGGGAGAAATGGCCTCAGGCTCACAGTCCTTCTGCCCCTGCCTCCTGAGTGCTGGGATTACAGGTATGCCTAATTAATCTTTTCTTTTTTTTTTTTTTTTGTCAGTCGTGGGGCTTGAACTCTGGGCCTGGGCGCTGTCCCTCAGCTCTTCAGCTCAAGACAAGCGCTCTACCACTTGAGCTACA